TAACCCAACCAAACATGAGAAAATTGGAAAACATCTTTCGGAAAATGTTTTCCTTCATACCAAGCACACCCATAGTTTCCTCCCCTCCTTTATCACAACAATAGCAATTGGACACCATATTCACTCTCATTTTCTTGAAAACATCATATGTGGGTATTCGCTTTCTCCAGACCCTCCATAAGAAGAATGAAATTTTAAAAGGGAGCCCTTTTATCCATATGTTATCTCTCCATTCCATTTCTTCCTTCTTTCTCCTCACTAGCTGAAAGGCTGATTTAAGAGTGAAGTCTCCTTGCGAATTTCCCATCCACCACGGCTTGTCCTTCTCTTCTTCAGTCAATGAAGGACTAATGTTCTCCACAATATGAGTCAAAATTTTCGGTGATAGGAGCTGTTGTAATCTTCGTGTGTGCCATTGCCCATTGTGTATCATATCTTTGACCTCTAATTCCTCCTTCACTCTTTGTATTTCTGTGTAAAATAGAGCACCCTGCTTAGTCCAATTATACATCCAGAAGCTGGCAATTCCTTCTTTCTGTTGCTACCAGATCTCGTGCTCAACCTCATCCTTCACTCTCATCATTTTTTTCCAGATCTGTGATGCCTCCCTATTCTGTGCCATAATTGGATGATCTTTTTTACAATATTTAAACCACAGAAACGAACTCCAAAGAGAAGTTGTTGAAGTTCTTAATATCCACCAAATCCTCGCAAACATTGTATTAGAAACATCAAGTAATGATCTAAATCCTAATCCTCCTTCCCTTTCAGGATAGCACATATCCAACCAACTCACCCAGTATTTACCCCTGACTCCTGCCTGATCACCCCAAAAGAACTTCGCAAATATTTGATGTATTTGATCTATCACACTTTTTGGGGGGTTGATTGTTGATATCATGTATATAGGCATAGACTGTAAAACATGACTTATCAATATAAATTTTCCCCCAAAAGTGAGAAATATATTCTGCCAAGAATAGATTCGAGCTGCGATCTTCTTTATTAGCCCTTCAAAGTATCTTTTCTGCTTCCTTCCATAGTATACTAGACAACCCAGGTATATGAGAGGGAAATTTCCAGGATTAAGTCCTGTCAGCTTTCTCAACCTTATTGTCATAATCAAAGGCGTTTTTTCATGTAGGTAAAAAACTTTCATCTTTATTGACCTTTTGACTCGAAACTCTCTCATATCCACTCAATACCTTCATCGTTTGGATGATTGAATCTCTATCCCCTGATCCAAACAAAATAGTGTCGTCTGCATAAGCTAGATGGTTAATTTTGAAACTCTATTTTGACATCCCAAAACCTTTAAAGTTATCTAGATCATTAAGAGGATTCAAGTTCATGGACAACACTTCTACAATAATAATGAATAAGGTAGGGGATAGTGGGTCCCCTTGTTTTAAGCCTCTAGTAGACTGAAAGAAGCCATATGTTTGGCCATTGATTAATACTGAGTACCAGTTAGCTAAAATCAGCCTCCACACCATATCTATGATAAATTCTGGAAACCCAAACTTCATCAACACTTTGGTTAAGAAAATCCACGCAAGTCTATCATATGCCTTTGCCATGTCCAGTTTTACCATAACATTCAACTCCTTGTTTCTTAAGTGGATGTCCCTTAGGATATCCTGTGCCAGTAGTACATTCTTTGTGATGCTTCTGCCTTTAACAATTCTGGATTTATTGAGAGAGATTATGCTCGGGAGGATCCCAACTATCCTTTCATGAATCATTCTAGAAATAACCTTGTTTGTGAAATTTCTCAGACTTATGGGTCTCATATCTTTAAACTCTTGCACATTCTCTTTCTATGGGATTCATATCAAATTAGTATGTGTTATATACCTGGGAAGCTCGTGTCCACTAAAGAAAGCTCTAACTAACCTTGTTAAATCCTCTCCTACGATGTCCCAACAGTGCTGGAAGAACTTCCCTGAAAAACCACCTGGTCCGCTAGCACTATCTCCATTCAACATCAGAACCACTCCTCTTACTTCTTCTGTACTCGGTAATCTGATCATTTCTTCATTCTGCTCACCATTAATCAGCTTGGGAATCTGTTGAAGCATACCAAAATCCATGTTTCTTTCCTCCTCTGAAAATTGATCCTGAAAGTATTCTATAGTAGCCTCTCCCATTTGTTGGTTATCGGATACTTCTTTCCCTCTAACATCCTTGATTTGTGTAAGATGAAGCTTTTTCCGTCTCCCTCTTACATAAGAATGAAATAATTTAGTATTTTTGTCCCCATCACTAAACCATCTCAAGCCCGCGTTCTGCTTCCAATATTCTTCCTCAAGTGACAAATATTTCCTCAATTCTGCCTCCGCCTTGCTTAGGTCGCTTCTGTTTGAGGGCGATGGTTGGTTCTCTAACTTTATTTCTTTCACTCTAATCAGATCCTCCAATGTGGCAATTTGTTTAAAAATGTCTCCAAACGTAGCTTTACTCCAACTTGCTAGGGCCTTCTTAGTATTTTTAAGTTTATCATGAAATAATGTAAAAGGGTTCCCTTCTATTGTCGACCTCCAGTGTTGTCTGACTACTTCATTAAAGCCCTTGTGTTTAGTCCAAAAATTGAGAAATCTAAATGGCTTAATGTGTGGATCCTCTGCAGTGTTACATGTCATGTGTAATGGGGCATGATCCGATCCTTGTCTCACAAGGTGATGTATTCCACTTGACGGAAATAGGTTGACGAACTCTTGATTCACCAGAACTCTATCCAACCTCTTGAAGATGCATTCCTCTTGTACTCTACCATTCCACCAAGTGAAATTACTTTGCTGAAAGTTTAATTCTGATACAACGCAACAACTAATGCATTGAGCAAAGTCTATTGCCTCTGATTGGGTAAAGGGTAACCCTCCCAATTTTTCTTCCTCCTTAAGTATCACGTTAAAATCACCTCCTATAACCCAAGGACCATCTACCTCTTCCGCCAAATTCTGCAAATCTTCCCATAGAGCCCCTCTTTCCTATGTACAACACTTTAAATATACATCTGTAACCATCACACATGTGTTGTATCTTGACAACTTAATCGTCAGTTGTTGAGATGAATCCAAAATTACTTGCCCTTCATAGTCTTCATCCCAAAAAATCCAAATTTTACCCGAACTATTTGCCATGGCTTTTTTATCACCCAGCTTTATTCTGTACTGTTCAAGTTCACATGGATCCCTAAAAGGTTCCATAATTGCTATGTATTTGTATTGATGTCTTCTATTAAGGTCAATCACTCGCTCAAAAGACTTCTGAGTGTTGACTCATCTTATGTTCCAAAATATTAGTTTGTCAATCATTGATCTATGGCTACTATGCTTTCCTTATTACTCTTTTTTTTTACCTGCAGCGATATAATTGATTTGCTTTTCCTGATTCCCTTCTTCAAACTAATCACGTGCCTTGGCGATAGATCTCCTGCCCTGCTGATATATTCTATGTTCTCATTCAACCCTTCATCCTCCTCTAATTCATGCATTTTTTGGATCTGATCATCGGCTAAGTCTATCATGATAGGAGTTTGTTGTATTAGAGATCCAACTACCACTATCTGCATACTTGTTAAGCCCCGAACTCCTTCTCCATCGCCATCTTGATGATGTGTTTGTTCCCCCAATATACTATTTGTTAACCCTTCCTCTTAAGTCTCTATGTTTATTTCTTCTCCACTATCCACTATTGTTTTCCTCACCTCCTCCTCCTTGCTATCTCCTCGATCCATATAATCCTCCTTCTCTACTTCTTTGTTTGGTTCGTAAATGGTTTCT